CATCCACCACAAGCAGACGTGGGGAGCAGAAGAAAGGGGAGGAGGGTGGGAGCCTTAGAGCTAGCTGTGGTAGCTCAAGCTTGTAATACCAGCTAGCCTGGACACACATCAATGTCCAGGCCAATCTAGGTGACTTATCAAGATCCTATCTAAAAACAAACAAACAAAACCCAATAATTCCAGGCCTGCTGACTTCACTCTGCAATCCCAACATTCAGGAGACTGGTGCAGGAGAGCAGCTGTGAATTCGAGACCAGCCAGGGCTGCATAGTGAGCTCATATCCAACCTGGGTTACAATGTCAGACTCTGTCTCAAAAAAAAAAAGAGAGAGAGAGAGAGAGAGAGAGAGAGAGAGAGAAAAGAAAAGAAAGGGGTAAAATATAAAATAAATTTAAAGGGCTAGGGATAAAATCAGTGACAGAATGTTCGTCTTGAGTTCAGCCCCCAGTACTACAAAAACCAGTAAACATGATAGACAGACAGACAGATAGAACATTGGAGGAATTCCAACTCCAAAAAGCGTTTTCAAGGCCCTTAAAATTTTTTTGAAGGAGCCGATAGCATAGCTCAGTAGTTGAGAGCACTGGTTGCTCTTCCAGAGGTCCTGAGTTCTATTCCCAGCACCCACATGGTGGCTCACAACCGTCTGTACCGCCAACCCCAGGGATCCAGTGCCCTCTCCTGGCCTCTTTTGGCACTGCATGCAACTGGTGCACAGACATACTTAGAGGCCAAAAACCCTCACACATAAGATACCATATTTTTAAAGCACTTATGGGAAGCAGGTTCCTAACAGTTATGTTTTAGAGTGCCGACTTCCAGCAGGCACCATAACGTATTCCTCGACTGCTCAGGTCGTCTGTAACCCTTCACCACAAATTCGCAAAGTGTATGTTATTCCCATTTTACAGATGAAGAAACAGAGGCATCTCTCTCTCCCCCATCATACCTTAATAAACCTCACACTTGTCTGAAAGTCGGTCTATTTGTAATCCAGATGCCCCCTACTGTTGTCCTCTGGTGAAGCCAAGCATGCTTTGATGTTTACAGAAAATGCAAATGTTTTGCACGCTGTGAACAGCCCCTTGGCAATTATCTATGAAGACCCAAGGAAATGTCAAGTCACTGCAACACGCACATTTGCTTTGCTGACTCTGTGTGCAGCAGCACCTCCAGGTGCCTCCATGGTTGGCTTTGTAAGTTCCAATTTACATACACTTGTTCAGGAATGCCCTTCTGGGGGTTCTGCAGGCCAGATTTACAGCCTGTCCTATAGCATATCTTGTGTTTCCTCACATCCTATCTCTTTGCACAAAACATTTATGTTCCCAGGTGGTGACCATAAAAAACCTAAGAGCTTCAGCAAATATGCTAAGACTTCTTTTAATAGTATTGTTGACAAGTGTGTGTGTGTGTGTGTGTGTGTGTGTGTGTGTGTGTGTGTGTGTCCTTGCCTGTGCATGTGGGAGCATGTGTCTGAGAAAGTCAGAGGTTCATACTCACGTTGAATTCCTAATGGTATGAGATGCCATCCCTGTGATCCTAGAGTTAAGCCCTGATGGATGTGATTTGAACTGACTGCAGTTTCTCTTATAAACAATACTGACTACACCTGTACACACATTTCACATTTTTGCTCAAGTATTCTCATCAAGTGAATTTCCAGAAGTGGAATTTCTAAGGCATATATACATCCTTAAGTCCCATCACCAAATGGTCAACAGAATACATTAGACCAGTTTCTATTACTATCACAAATTTATAAGAATGTATTTTTCCTTATTTTCCTATCAATATGGACCATTTTCAACATTTGTGTATTTCATAGAAGAATATATATCTCATTTTTTCAATTTATGGTTCTTTGAATATTCATAACCTTTAATAACTCTTCATGTAACTTGGTCAATCTCATTGTTATGTTGCCGTTTTTTTACTTATGGGAGCTCTTTATGTACTAGAGATACAATCTTCTCACATCATGTGGCAAATACCTTTGCCCAGTTCGTCCATGTCTTGCCTTTGTTTACGGAGTGTGTGTGTTTCTACTACGATATTGTTCCTAAGTGTTTTCCTTTATGATTCAGGCTTTGGTAGCATTTGCTTTTGGTATTTTGGGTAATTTATAAAATCCCAGCTGGGTTTCTCATTTGTCAACAACAAAATGTCACTGGAAATCAGGACTTCTGAAAAACATATTTTAAACTGTTACACAACCATAGACCTTTTCACAACTAGAAAAAAATGAATGATGATTTAAATTAACTTTATCAATTTTGCTGAAAAGAAAATGATCAATTTTTTTTTAAATCCTATCCATGTCAATGAGCAGGTGACATTTTTGCTATTCTGTATTTACCACCTGCAATAACATAATCACAATAGTTACACCCAATTTGTCAAGAAAATGATTTCACAAGCTACTGGAGAACGTGGTGTAAGCATCACTGCTTCGGGCTATAAGAAGGGATCTGGCTGGAGTCTGGATGACAATGTTTCGATGATGACCACATAGAGGATAAAACAACTAAAAATCTCTCGCTTCCATTGGCAGGGAAGGCATTCTAGATGTTTCCCTTTTCGTTCCCGGAGATGCTACTTAGGAGCCTCCTCATTTGTAAACGTATAACAAGAACAGCACATCCTCGGAGATGAACTCCACACAGCCACACCATTCACGGACATGGAGCTGCCCAGTGAGCCAGTATCTGAGCCCTGGAGCTTTTCATTCCTCTTATTATTCATCTAGACCTCTGGTCAGAAAGGTAGAGTCTGCACTATGCATATAGCCCCTGATTTCACGATGCCTGTTCAGCTCCCTCCATAACTAACAGCAAGAAATAACGAAATAATATGAGCAGTATGAGTCAAAAGATCTGTTCTAACAAAAAAAAAAAAGCGGGGGGGGGGAGTGGTTCTCAGCTTTGTAAGTAAAACAAAATACGTATATGTGTGTGTGGGGGGTGTTTTCTTGTTATTTGTATCTTACTATTAAGTGCTGTTTTTAAAAACAAAACTGTCAGATTATACCAGGCAGTGTTACAGTCACCTCATTCACAACTGTAACTTAGAGCTGCTTTGGTACTGGGCAGAAGTGACCTGGGCTCAGGTATATGGGTATCCACAGAAAGCAAACACGAGTCAAGGTTATAAAGAACTTGCCGGAGGAAGGGTGGAGAGAGTCACAGGGCATGGGGAGGGGGATAATTCGAAGATCACAACAGAAAATACGGTGGAGAAGTAAAATCGCATCAGAGAAGAAGAGAGTGAGTATCACTGTGAGAGGAGACAGCGAATGGAGGCTGAGTCGGCTTTAATGAAACAGCCCTGTTGAACAATGTCTCCACGGACAGGGTGGAGCTGAGCTGTCCCGTGTGTGGAGGGAGAGCCAGCAGAGTTGACTGCCTTGGGGGGTCACTGAACAGGAGAGACAGCGCTGAACCACGAGAGGAAAGAAAGTGTGAAATGGATGTAAAGGAAAGTTCCCTGAGGGATGGGTAAGCCGTTCCCACCCCGAGTCTCAGTTTCCCTAAGTCAAATGTGGGGAAGTTGGTTTTTCAATAGGAAAGTTGCTTATAGAGCTGAGGATAAGGGGTTACAGCCACATGATTCCATATTGTCAGCCTCACCCTCATCAACACTCATTATCCTGTACAGGGTCGGCAAAGGAATGTGATTTTAGAAAGAAGGACTGGGGGAAGGGTTTGGTAGAGAAAAGGGGGGAGAATTTGGAGGGAAGGGGGCAGAGAGAAAGGACCAAAATTAAATATGTATGGAAACTCCCTATGAAAACCTATTGCTTTGTAAACTAATTTTTTCAACTTTCTTTTTATTTATTCCTTGTGTCTTTCACATCACGCCTCCTGATCCCACCCATCCCTAATTTAAAAAAAAAAAATTAAGAGAATAAAGTGGGAGAGGAAGAAAGGGAAAATCGTCATGGAAGCTGCAGTGTCATGTTGTAGAATATTAGTTTAAGATGTGTTACATTCATTTATGCTGTGGAACATTTGTTTAATGATACAAAGATGTGTTGCATTCTTTTATGTTGCATTTGTTTAACTCTGTGAAGCTGTGTTACTTTGCCTGTCTAAAACACCTGATGGTCTAATAAAGAACTGAACGGCCAATAGTGAGGCAGGAGAGAGGATGGGTGGGGCTGCTAGGCAGAGAGAATAAATAGGAGAAGAAGAGGGGGAGCGAGAAAGGAAGAGAGAAGATGCCAGGTGCCAGCCACCCAGCCACACAACCAGCCACGGAGTAAGAAGAAAAGAAAGGTATACAGAATAGAGAGAAATAAAGTTCAAAGGCAAAAGGTAGACAGGATAATTTAAATTATATTTTTTTAAAAAGCTGTCTAGAAATAAGCCAAGCTAAGGCCAGACATTTATAAGTAAGAATAAGTCTCCGTGCATTTATTTGGGAGCTGGGTGGCAGGCCCCCAAAGAGTGAAAAAAACAACTACAGTGTAATAAAGTGAGTCACGCTTTTATCCATACATTTTTACATGCAGGCCTTCATTGCAAAGATGCATTGGTCTGGTTGGAGGAGGCCCCTGGACATCCCACTGCTGCCCTGTGTCATGGAGGTCCTGCAGCCTTGGGGCCTCAGGACCAACCCCCACCTCTGTGCTCCAGTAGATCACAGATGGGGTAGATGTTGGGGTGGGCCAATGCACAACCCTGGTTCTGGGCCTGGGGAGTTGCAGGGTTGGTCAGCCCACCAGCTCTCCCCCGTCTTCACACCAAGGTGAGTGCTCCAGCATTGCCCTGGCTAGTTCATCCCTTGCAGTGATGAGCAAGGGCCAGGGCCAGTTCTCAGGCTTTCGCATCCTCAGGGTCAGCTCTCCCATACCTGGACCATCAGGGCCAGCTCTACTGTGTTGCCCAGGGGAGGTGCAGGGACTGCTCTCCTGAGTGCTACAGCTGATGAGGGGCAGGGACAGCCCTCCTCCTCTTATGACCTCAGGGCCAGCTCTTCCACCTGCCTCAGGCATTGATGGGGGGGGGGGGCGTGGAGCAGTTCTCCCTGGCGCATGCTGCTACGTGACAGATGAGTAATGGAGACAGCTCTCCCATGCTCACAGCATCAGGCCTGGCTCGCCCACACCCCTGTTCTACTGTGCTGCCCAGGCGAGGTGCAGGGTCCACTTTCCTGACTGCTGCAGCTGGGAAAGGGGAGTGTCAGCTCCCTTGCCCACCACATGGGGAGAGGGGCGCATCTTTCCCTTGCCCTCCCTTGACCACCACATGGCAGACAAGGAGGGTGTGGCCAGCTCTCCCACTCTCCCACCCTCAGGGCCGTCTCCCTAGCCTCCGCCAACAGAGACTGCCTAGGTGAGGAGCCGGGCCTGCTTTCCTGAGTGCTGAGCGGGTAAGGGGGAGCGTCAGGTCACAAGTGGTAAGGGACAAGGGGGGGGGCATCTCTCCCCAGCTCACACAGCCCCGCGTGTGTGCGCGCGCGCGCGCGTGGCAGACAAGTAGTGTGGACAGCTCTCCCATGCTCACAAGTTCGAGGCTGGCTCACTCACACCTCTGCCAACAAGGTTGGCTCTGTTGTGCTGCCCAGGCGAGGCGCAGGCAGGGCCTGCTCTCCTGGTGTATAAATTAATGTTTTAAATGATTGAATTTAAAAACAGAAGAAGAACAAATGGTGATTGTATAAACGAATGCACAATGAATCATGATAAAAATTATTATATACCCACATGAACATGATGTACTACAGAGCCTGGAGACCAGGAGAGAAATGGTGTGAGCATGGAAAACCAGTACTGAATTAAAACAAAAACAATCATCTATAAAAAAACGATAAGGACCTATATTTAGGAGGCAGAAACACAAAGAAGAACTTGGAAAGAATTGCAGCAAGTCTTCAAGTGATTTTAACTTATTGCGATCTCCATCTAAGAGCCAGGTCAAGTTTAAGTGGTCTGATTAAATGTTACAGTCATTCATTCACGTGGAAAACAGCTATTGCTCCCCAACCACCTTTCTGGCCCCAGGGACCAAGGTAAATTTTACATTTATTTCTCCCAAATTTCTGACTGATCACATAGAGCCCTGAACCCTGACAGCCCAGCTCACACTATCATAATTACCATCCTTGATTACCAAAATAGCCTGGCATTTAGGAAGAGAACGTAGATTTTAAGGCTGAGCGGCATCAAAACGGTCCACCTGTGTACCTGCTGGAAACATTAAACAAGCAATTAAGCCCCTCATCTCCAGTGACTCCACATGATTTGTCCAGGGGCGCCAGTTCTCCCCACAGGCAGCGCTGTTTCAAGAAACCTGAATTCGGTGAAGACAGTGAAAATTTATACATGCATCCATACATACAGTATGTGTATGTGTGTATCCTGAGTCAAAAGTTCTCTAAATCCAAATGTGAACATACAGTTTAATTTTATGACATTTTAATTCTGGCCTCCAGACTACCAGGCACTTGGGACCCTAAAACTCTACGTCCTGATTAGCTTTCCCTCGTATGCTGGCTAGTTTTATGTCAACTTGACACAAGCTAGAGACATTTGAGAGGAGAAAACCTCAGCTGAGAAAATGCCCCACCAGACTGGCCTATGGGCTGGCCTGCAGTACATTTTCTTGACTGACAGTAGGGAGAGAGGGGCCAGTCCATTGTGGGTGGGGACGCCCCTGGGCTGGTGGCCCTGCGTATTAGAAGAGACCAGGCAGAGATGCGGAAGAGCAAGCCACTAAGTAATGTTCTTCCATGGCTACAGTTCCCGCCTCCAGGTTCCTGCTTTCTTTCAGGGATGGATGATTACCTAAAATAAACCCTCCCTCCCCAAGCTGTTTATGGCCATAGAGTTTGATCACAGCACTACAAACCCTATCTAAAACAGCCTCAACACACTGCAGCAAATCTGTCCTCAGGAAAAACAGGGCCCGTGGTCCCTTCTTCCTCCCTTCCTTCTGGAGGGCCTGTGGTACATCAAGCATGGCCCTGGGTTAGTCACCGAAATGAACCAGACAGTCCATACTTGCATTGGAAAATTGAGGAGTACTTCTTATTAGAGCCATCTATTTTACAAGCCTTCCTAAGTAGGGTCCCACCTTTCCTGGGATTGCCTTCCAATCATCTCATCCCCATGCCTCACAAACCTCAGAGTCAGAGCAACAGTGCTATGTGTTAACGGGATTCCTGCCGCTTCTGCCTCTCCTGGCTTTCATCTTTCAACGCCTGTATTAGTTCCTTTTCTCCGTGTCCTGATGGATACAACCTAAGGAAGGCAGGAAGGATTTCCCCGGGTGCTCGGTTCCAGAAGTTAGTCTGCTGTGGCAGGACAGGCGTGCTGGAGCATCTCTACGGTGACTGGAGTGTGCCAAGCCAGTTCCTCACAGCCGAGAAGATGAGGAAGCACAAATACAGCGGGACATCAGGACAGGCTAGACCCTTCAAAGGCCTTCCTCGAATGACAGATTTCCATCAGCCATGTCTCTGGTCCACCATCTCCCCAAAAAGTTCCTCCTGTTGGGGACCACATGCTCATACACAGGAGTTTGCAGGGAACATTTCATATTCAAATCATTTGTTGTTATAAACCACTCGTTTCCAATGCTGCTCACCACTTGAAATATTCTAACATGGGTTTAAATTCTGACTACATTTTTCTGGCTTTGGGGACGTCAGTGTTTTCCCTGAGTAAATGAAAATAAGAATACCTACAGGCCAAGGACACCCAAAGAATTAAATGAATTAGTATGCATGAAAGCACCCAACAGAAGTATGTGGATGGCTTTCCTCAGCAATCCTGAGAATAAAAGCCTCCTCCTAAATCCTCGGGGCCTGGTGACATCTGCACTCCCTCCCTGCCTCCCGTCAGAGGCTGCAGTGGCCTTGTTTGCCACTTCCTCACACCTGGGACAATGTCTGGCTGGGGCAAGTGACGGCCGCCACGCCACGCCACATAATCGGTTGGCATTAGTAGCTGAGCTTAAATATTCTGCTGAATTGACAGATTCATCAGGCATTCAGATTGTACCTCCACACTTAAAGGAGAGTGCAAGTCTGGGTTTCTGCAGAATGATCTGCATCTTTTGTATTGTTTAGGGGCAAGTGCAGAACCCCCAAAGATTTATGTTTAAATAGTGTTCTCTTAACTTCACATTGCTCTCTATGCTCAGTGGTTACGAAGCAGTTGTTAAAGCCAAACCAAAAGAAAATGTTTTTGCAATGAAACCACATCATTGGGATACAAAGAGAAACAGAAAGTTTAAGGGTTAATGAGGAGTCAGCTGAGTTTTACCGAGGCTCCCTTCAGCCAATATTCATTCCCAGTATCTCTACAACCTCACAAGGATGAAAACCGCAAGCCTGCACCTTCCAAGAAATGAGCCAGGGTGAAGGACTCACTTTTCTAGGCCATTCCCACTATAAAACTTGGTCTTGGCTCTCAAGCTAAAGCAACTGGAGGAAGCTTCAGGTCCTTCTAGAGAATCATGAAGCTGGCCGGCAGCCTCTTGCTTCTGTGGGACTGATTTTGTTCTGATACATCAACGACCTTCCTCGGCTCAGTAAAACTTCCCTTGCGTTCCAATCAGTCTTAACCAGCTTCACCTAGTCTCGGCAGCATACAAGCAGAAGCTACCAGGAACTCCACCCGCTGGTGCACAGGGCAGCCGCCGAATCTCTGGGGTCCCATCCTGACACCCATGTCCCCTAGAGTGGTTCTCCACCGGTTCCAGAAACCCAGAGACTGTTCACAAGAGGGTAATCTGCCTACATGGATGAAGTCTCTTGCCCCTCACCTGATGAATGGACGTAGCTACTCCCCAAGAAGTTGAAAAGCACACATTCAAAACACACATTCTCAGACATGCTCACTCACAATGGGAATTGCTCCACATGGGAAAACAAGGCTTTCCCACTGAGGACTCAGAGAGACTATGAGGGTCACAGGTACTAGGAGAGAGGCGCTGATTGGACAGAATCTCAAGACACACTTGGATGCAATTGTTCTTTTTTCTTTCTTTTTTTTTTTTTTCCTTCAGGAAAATCCTCCAGAATGGAGAGCCAATATCTCCTTGCCCCATTCTAGTAAATTCTGTCCATAACACATTACACTTCCCCGGAGACATTTAGAGAGTACCATTCATTTAATTGCCTGGAAAACCCAAGCCAGAGTAGCTAGAGCTTGGACCTCTATTTGTTGGCTGTCTACAGATTTACAATGTAGCAGCATGTGGATCTTCAGAGCCAACGTGTTAGAAATCTAAGGTGCTTATTCGACCCGCAGAAATACAATGGGCAAGAGCAGGAAATGCTTCAGAGTCCCCAGAAGGCATCAGCCCCAATTACATTCCTACACATGTGTGCAGCCCTGAAGCTGTTCATTAACATTTGGAAAATTCTTCTGGTAAATGTCTTCATATCCAATTTAGGCTTCTTTCTCCTTCCCCCTACCACCCTGGTTTCATAGACAGGCCACGGTAATGAGCTATATAAACGTAACTCCTTAAATGAAGAATGTCATCACTTCAGAGTACAAGAGAGCGGTGCTTGTTGCGTGTACGTCCGCAAACCACACTTGCTGTCTGTTAGAGTTTGTAGCAACTTTTAAATCTGTCATCACGGCATGAATTTCATACTAAGCCCCTTTCCTGGTGCTCGAGCCAGGAAGTAAGAGGGGAACAGGCTGTGTCATTTATGGGCAGACTGGTATCGGGTCAAGTGTGACATCATGCTCTGCTGGGCCCTAATGAGGTGAGAAGGCAAGCTTGCAGCAGCGTGGCACTTTGTTTAGTGGGGGGCTGTATTTCAGCTTATGATAAAACCCAGTCTAAGGATACGGACCACAGGTTTTTCCCAGCCTCGAGCAAGGGAAGAGCGAAGGGGAGAAAAGGAGGGAAGCCCCTGAAGAATTTGGCTAAATAATAACAATAATAACAAATAATATAAAAATACATAAAAAGGGCCAGGATAGGCTCTAAGCAGGGTAGTTCCCTGGCGTCTGTAGGGGTCACATGTATTCAACTAGCATAGTAACACCTCGAACAACTGGCTTGAGTTTGGTCTCCTCGTTCTGTTCGTACTCAAGCAGACAAGAGGAAACTAGACTCGGAATGAGTGTGTGTACGTATGTCTACTTCTTTAAAAAGCAAGATCCTGCTTTCAATATCGTAGGAGTTCTTCACTTGACCAAATGTTTCCATCCAAAACAGTAAGAACAAACCACCTTGGTCTCTCCTTGGGTATCCATGTAGTTCCCTACTCAACATTTGAATTCGTGACTAACCCACAGAGTAAAATATCAATGTGTGTGGCAAATGTGACCAGGCAAAAGAAGTTTAATATCCAATTGTTTTTCTGAAAGTGGAAGAATGTGTTTCTATCCACAGACTAGTGCTGCT